GTGTGTGTGTGTGTGAGTGTGTGTGTGTGTGTGTGTGTGAGAGTGTGTCACAGATACGCATCACCTGAGGTTTATTAGTTTGTTGACGGTTAAATTGTGTAATCCAAATGGATGGAAAGTATTATACACAGATCTTAAGTTCAGGCCTGAATATCTGAGAGGCGGCTCGGAGGTTTGGAGCCGGTCTCGGGCTGTTCGCTCAGGCTGCAGACAGACACACCATTGAAGGGAAACCTCCAGCTGAGTGACAGAGAGAGAGACAGAGGGATGGATTTCTCTCCCACCACGTCCTTTCCCAGGATGCACCTCTGCCCTGTGCTTCCCTCCGAACCACCGTCACCCAGACCAGAACTTCTCTAAACTGGCTCTGAATCAGAGCGGCTGTCTGCATTCACAGTAGAGCATCCTTCAGAGCAGGCACACTCAAAACAAGACCAAACGCGAAGGATTCAGCAGTCAACAAAGCACTTTTAGTTTTACTCTCTTTGACTGACAAAAAAAAAAAAAAAAAAAAAAATTAATTATAATATATATATATATATATATGCAATATGAGGAAATATCCAAAACACAGATATAAAGCGCAAATGATTCTATCAGAATTTGTATTAATATTTTGAATTTGTTTTTATTTGTATATTGTACGTTTACATTTAAATCTTTAAGTTTTATAAATTTTTTGTTTGTCATTTTTTGTTATGTCTATATAAATGAGAAATAAAATAAAATAAGTTTAAGTTTTATATCTTACACAATCCTGCTTCACAAGTAAATGTATCTTGTTTTAAGCATTTTTAAATAAGAAAAACAAGAGACATTTTTTTTTTTTTTTTATATATTTTCTATATTTATATCTTACACAATCCTGCTTCACAAGTAAATGTATCTTGTTTTAAGCATTTTTAAATAAGAAAAACAAGAGAAATATATATATATTTTTTTATATTTTACATTTACATTTAAATTGTTAAGTTCTATTATTTTTTGTTTTTTATATTTTTTTATATTTTACATTTACATTTACATTTTTAGGTTCTATTATTTTTTGTTTGTCATTATTATTATGTCTATATAAATGAGAAATACAATAAAATAAGTTTAATTTTCATATATTTTCTATATTTATATCTTACACAATCCTGCTTCACAAGTAAATGTATCTTGTTTCAAGGATTTTTTGCTGAGAAAACACTAGGAAACACTGATTCCACTGACACTCGTATGAAAGCGAACAGCTGGAGTAGTTTGGACATTTTCAGTCAGACACAACAGAGATGTTGCAGGCCTGCAGTGAAAGTGTTTTTGCTCCCTCTGCTGGTGGATGGTGTGACTTACAGGCCGGGTGGCTGGCGGAGGGCAAGCACAGGGCGAGATCCGTGCAGCACACGTCTGACAGAGAAGGTTCAGGGGAGGAGAGGTCAGACAGAGACAGACGGGTAGTTACCGAGGTTGACCGTGAGTTTGACCCGTCCTGCGTCCAGCTCCAGCCGCAGCGTGTCGGCTGACTCTTTGGAGGTGGTGGCCATGAGCAGCCCATACGCCCGCTGGGACATGAAGCGCAGCGTCACATCCTCCGCCTCCGTGTGCAGCGTGCTGGGCATGATGATCTTCAGATACATGCTGCCGTCATAGCTCAACACCGTCGCCTCTGCACGCACACACACACACGCACACACAAGATATAAACAAACACTGGCTTCTGGTTCTTAGGTCTTAGAAACAGGTGCTGCTTCACAGAGAGAATGATTCTACACATCTGCAAATCACTGTAGCCTTTATACAGCACAACGATTAACACGAAAACAAACAAACAAATAGGGCACCTTCTGTCAAAAAAGGTTTCTAATAACTAGACTTTTGAGATATATATTTTTATAATTTATCCACATTTATTATTTCAATTTATAATATTTTTATAATGCTTCATTTTTAATTATATATATTTGACAATTGTTTTTATTTATGATCTTAAATTATAAATAGTTAATATTTATTTGTATAAAATAGATTTTATAAGTATATTTTTATAATTTATTTTATAAACACATTTATTATGTAATCACATTTGTTATTTCAATTATACACACACTCACTGTTTACTAATAAAAAATATATAATCCCATTCAATATATATATATATATCAGTCCTGTGTTCCGTGTTTTCCTCCCCCACGTGCTTTCCATTACCCAGTTTTCCCTCATGTGCAATTATGTTATTGCTCCCAGGTGTTTCTCGTCATCCCCTCGTCATGTCTTGTGTATTTAAAGTGTTTCCTGTTCTGAGTTTGCTGTCCGGTATTGAATATCCTCTCTCCCCGCTACTTGTGTGTTCCTGGTTCCTTTGATGTCAAATAAAGTCTGTTCGTTGGAAGTTTACTCCTCGTCTCCTCATTCCTCGCTCCGTGCTCCTCACAGTAGCGGTACGTGACAGAATACTGGACCTTAAACAGTAAGCGGTGCCCCTACTCTCCGTGTTTTTTGTTTCCGGTTTTGAAAGTGTTTTCTTTTGGTTATTCTAATGGATCTCCTCAAACGACTATGTTCAATTTACCAAGACAGCCGTCCCCTGGAGGAATATGTCTCTGAATTCCTCACCTGCTCTCAGCAGGCTTCCCTCGACCTGTGGACACTTATGGACTGTTTTTTGGGTGGTCTGGATGAGGGGATCGCAAAGCGGATGCCACTGAGCGGGTCCAGGTGGACCCTGCCCGATTACATCAACCTGGCCCAGTTCCTCAGCGGATCTCATCTCCTCGCTGCCAGCCCAGAAGCATCACTCATTAAATCCATCAACCCCCTGTCATCACCCATCATGGCCGTTCCTCAGTCAAGCCCGCCGTCCGTGCCGTTCACCCTTAACCAAAGGAGGATGAGGAGGAAAAGACTGTTCTCAGCCCTCATCCCAGCCCCTGAGCCAACTCCAGTGTCGGCTCCAGCCCCTGAGCCAGGCCCAGAGAGGGCTCCAGTCCCCGAGTTTAGCCCAGAGAGGGCTCTAGTCGCCGAGTTTAGCCCAGAGAGGGCTCCAGTCCCCGAATTTAGCCCAGAGAGGGCT